AAAAAACATGTTTCAAACGGGCAACATGTATCTTTTAAGGAGCCCTGCCAAAACGGGAAATATAAAAACGGGACACCTGAATTATCAAAATGGAAAGGGCCAAAGGACCAAAAAAAACGGATAAGAAAAAACACCGGGGGAAATCTTGTGGCTGCCACTCTTGGAACACAAGCAACATAGAAATAAGATTCAAAAAAATGTTTGTTAGCAGCTTCGACCTCCAACTGCTAATGCTACAAATATGAGTCGACAGCTTCAAGCAGTAGCCACCCAATGCACCGGGGGATCATGCAAAGTCGCACGACTAAAATAAGACATCAACGAAACAAACCACCTTCATCACGACACGTCTACCCTGGTAAGTCGCTACAAATAAAAAACGCTGTTCTCCACTGCCGTTCCTGCCTAGGACCCCAAAACGTTCGGGACCCGACATCTGAGTGCAGGTGGTTGAAAACCTAGCGGCTTGCAGTGTGGTACATGAGAACATCACCGGCCCCGGTGCCGAAACTCAAAGGAAACTAGCAAGGTGTGGAGACAAACCGGGAGGATTAGTTCTTGCACATGGAAAAAAGAACCCTTGCTTCTTCAGGTGGCCAGGCTTCTTGGACGCTTTATTCGACAGCCACAATCAAAACCCGGGTAGAGGGTGAGGGATAGACCCACCTGCCCAAACACCACGCTGTGATCATGACTCACCTCTTGATTTGCCAGGGAGTTGTTGCAAAAACACCCGAAGAACCGGGACCCGCGTTGCAGTGTTCCGACCGCGCCGAAGCGCCGCATGGCTCTCTGCCACCTGCCGGAGCCTGCGGCTGGCGGGTGCGACGGCACCCAGAGCGCAAGCGGGCAGCGAGCTCAGCCTTGGACGCGGGCAACCGCCAAAGACCAACTGGGTTGCTGTTGACCCCCCTGCGAAAAGTGGTTTATTATTATTACCATTATTGTTATCATATTTTATTCTTGTTATTATTAATACGATTTGTTGAACGTTTTGGAAGTTTAGTGGATAACCCAACCTGATTTCAACCAAAAAGTTAAAGTCTACAGATCCAACCCAGTAGCTGTCAAGCCAAGAGAAGCGAAGCTCGGTGCAGCACACCGGGCTTAGTTACACGCCGAAGCCAACCAATCAGTGGGACTCTGATGGACTTGGGTCTCGATCAGCAAAGACACAAGCAACAAATGCTTGCCGAACAAGTGAGTGGGCAAGCTGAACACGTGGCATGACATGCCGCATCTTCTGGCCTTTGCTGAACAGCATAGTTCCGTGCAAACCAACTCCCCCCCAAACAGATAGGTCCAAGCTTCAGCAGCACCAAGGACTCATCGACCAAACTATCCATCGCGGCTGTTGCGCGGCATGGCTCTTGAGCACTCACGGCGCTGCAACCAGCCCAAAGTAAACCTCAAAATTGAAGCTTGCAAATGCATGAAATGGAAGGCGAATGTGGCGGTGGGGTCAAAGCCAATGGTACCATTTTGGGGTAGGTGCACCACCCGTTTTTGTCTGTTTTAGTGGGGATTGGGATGTTCACTGGGGGTGAGATTTGGATTTTGACCCATGGCCCTGGGACAAGCTCCAGCCTTCAGATTCCCAGAGGTTGACTGACACGTGAACAAGTGATGCTCCCATGAAGGGAGGGCTTTTTTTCCCTTGACCTTCCGTCCGAAAGCAAGAAATGCCATGACACAAAAAATATTTCCAAAACTGTGAGGCCCCGCCCGCTGCTCAGTTGCCATGCCACCAATGACAAGAATTAAACGAATTACACGCAACGTCGCGCCTGAGATGGTTCATGCACGATTCCCTTAGTCTCATGCCAATGGCTACTTCAATGAAAGTCCCTCACTCGCAGAATGCCTGAGGCAAAACACAAGCTGCGAAATGGCCCTAGTCATTCTACGGGTGGTTTTGCGATTTAGACCACCTGTGAGAGAGAAGCCACCTGTACAGCCGTCCAGCCTCCGGACTTTCGTCGTAGATGCCCATCTCTGAAAGATCGTTACCTGAGCCATGCTGAACATACTTACCAGGGTTTGGGGACAACTCAACGTTTGGTTGAGAGGGTACCTGGTCTAACTTACTTTTCAACCTTTTGCTGGCTTGTGCACCTGCCTTGATTAGGAGTGAACCTGATTCCCTCAAAGGAAGCCATAGGGGATGGTTCCATGCAAAGTGCGCGTTGGCAGCTCCAGCTTTAAGTCGCAGCATGCCGGTCCCGGAGGCCCAGGACCTACGCGCAGCTTGCGCAGACCTTTCGCGGAAAGCGAGCTTGGCGCCAAAAAAAGGAGACCTCCAAGGCCCGCACGGTTCTAGGGGGAGCCTCCCCATTCCAGAAATCCTTCATTTTTTCCGGAAACCATCAATAACCCCGGGGAAGCAGCGGTTTGTTGAAAAGAACGATGGTTGAAAAGAAGGGAAAAGGAATCAACCCCTAGAACTGTGGTTCCCGGCTGAAGCGCACTTCGGGGTAGCTCCGGCTCAAAAGTTGCCCAACTTGTCAGCACAAGTCACTGTGCAGCAGAGGCAAGGGAACTGGCAACAACCTGCTTCTACGCGCTTACTCCACTGCATGGTTAGCTTCCGCCGTCCTGTTCTTGCAAGCCCTTTGCAATGCATGAACAGAATCTCAGAAGCCTTCTTCCTTTCTGCTCACCTGTCGATTTGTCAAATGAATCAGCAACCGCCCGATTGAACAAAGCCCCTGCTCACGTGCGTGCGATAGAATACGACAGCCTGCGATAGGTGTCCTGTGATGAGTTCAGCGCTGGTGCTGCAAGCTGCGAGTGGAATTGAATCAAGCCGCCAGGCATACCCTTGGGTTCATATTTTCAATCCGACTTGCACCTGTTGCTTTGCTATCAGTAGATGCCCGTGTTTTCTTGGTTTGTATCTTGAACCTGGGCTCCACTCCCCCGCGTTGCCTGGGAGCCACAAGGCACGCTTTGCAAACCACCGGGCACCCATTCAAACTCAACCCGCGACCCGCTGAGGGAGGCACCCTGAGCAGCAGCTTCAGTAGCAGCATGCACGTCTGAGACCAGGGAGTGGGCAAACGAACCGCCTGCCTCAAATCCTCAATGGTAGAATAGAACTGTAACCCTTTTTTGCGCCGTGAATTTGAGTTTAACCCACAACATGCGCGACAAACGCAACTCCATGGTCATAGCCGCCGGCTTCGGGCTTGCTGTGGTGCGAGCCAGTTGGTGACCTGTGAGCACTAGGGCTGAACCCACCCAAGCTTGCATGAACTACCGCAAACACCGTGTCGAAGGCCGTGTCGAAGGCCGTTTGCCCCCAGCGCTATATGCAATACTCGTGCCGAACGCTGGCCCGGCCTTCGAACGTTTCAGTGAGAGACCTTCGGACAATCTGCGGGATTCGAGCTTGCATGCCTCAGCACGGCCAACAGTCGTGAATGCAACTGTGTCAAGCGGGCGATGAGTCGTCAAGCTCATCCTGCTGGTTCTTGGTCCAGCGCACATTCTCACAAGTCCAAAAGTCGATTTGGGGGTCCAGGAGATCAGGAACACCTGCTTGGTACTGAATCACTGGCTCCCAACAAGGGTCATCATGGTCATCGTGTCCCTCCCTTCCACCAGGTGTGCTGAACACAGCGCCAAGGGATACTTATGGGTACAGGGGGGGACAGTCACAGTCAAAGCAAGGTGGATGTTTACGTTACGCTTGCCTTGTCCATCTCGCCATGAATTTCCATGATGGCGCAACCCCTCACTGACATTAAATATGAGAGCATCTTCAGCTGCCCGCTTTGCTCTGGAGCGATGTCAGAACCTGCCCGGCACTTCCCCCCCCCCGCATGGAAGGAAAAGTAACGTTCACCTGCTTGCAACACTGACTCGTCTGAGTGATTCGGCTCCGACCAACTCGGGCTAACTGTCGGTTCGGATACTTGAAAGTTGAAGGACATCGCATTCAACAAACGCCGCTCGAAATGCTGCTGCCAAATTTCGGGGGCATCTCGAGAGCTATCCGAGACATCTTCCAGTTTTGGGCATATCGCATCCGGTCAGATCTGCGTCAAAAGGCAACGTTAGCATGCTTTGTCTCCCGCCTTCCGTGGACTTTGGCTCGATACGTTCAGCACCTGGTGGAGACTTCCCAGAAAGAATGCTTGCCAATCCGGAAGTACCTAAGGCCTTCACAAGGCCCTTCGACACGCGCACCGCTTGCAAGTTGTGTGTCTGTTAGGCCTCTTAGACGATTGATTTCCTGAAACGATGTCCGTCTTCTGTGACAATGACAAACGTTTTGTCAACATGAACCGCCCTGCACTCTGGACGGGACCAGCTTCCTCCAATCAAGTCCACCAGCTTCCTCCAATCAAGTCCCAGCATTCATGCCACGCGCAGAGCCAAGTACATTGAAGAAACTCTGCACCCAACTTGGCACGACTGAGTTCGGCCTGGCAGCTCATGAGCTGAAAGGGGCTGACATACACGCCCAGAAAACGTATCCTTTAAGAAAGAACTCTGGCAAACCACCAAACCCTCCGCAGAATCCACAATGCATCCAACTTCAATAGGAGCCACGGCCCGGGGGTGCGCAAGGCTTTGTCAGCCCCACGCTTTAGGATTCCAAATGTGACGCATCAGACATGGTACCTGGGCGGGCGCCAAGTGTTGCAGGTCCGCGGTGCCGAACATCGAACAATCAGCTGCCTAAAAATGCGCAAGCCTGCGGTGTTTCATGTTGACTTGCGTCCAACTGCAATAGGGCTGGGCCTGTGCATGCCAACAGGCGCACATCCAAACAAGCGGAAAACACATACAAGTACAGTAAAACACACATAAGGAAGCAACGCGCTTTGACAAGAGCAGAATGCAAGGGAAGCACCGGACACAGGAGCCTACGCATCGGCAGGAAGACTTCTGTCCCTTGAGGGTGCGGCCTTCGGTCAGGGAGCCTGGTGTTAACCTCGGTGCCAGCTCGCGGCGGGTGCTTGGTCGCTGCGTGCAGACCTACCTGTCTGGCGGAGCCAGGTCTTCGTGACCACTTGCTGAAACCGCTGGGGGGCAGCGATGAGAAGATGGAGGAGACATCCATTTCTCCGGTGCCCTGATTGCATGTGTTTGATTTTTCATGGAGACGCCAAACATCAAACATCCAACTGGTCCATGCCTCCTTATGTGTCATGTAAGTCTGTCGGAAGCTGCTAGCTCAAGTGGTAATTGAGAATGCCGCTGGGCGTGGGCGCCAACCCCATATTGGCTGACGTGCAGGGTCAAGGCCAAGGCCAAAGGGGAAGTTGGGCAGGGCCGTTTGGCGTGCAGTGGGTGGGAGGCCAGGCGGCCAATAGGCGGGTTGGCGGGCTGCTGCTGAGCCATACGCCACAACATCCAAGCGGTGCCTTGTGGCACTATCCACTCTTCGGCAACTTGATGAGATGTCCTCCATGACTCTGTGATATACCCTCCCACCGGTTACATGGAGCTTGACGTTCAGGGAATCGGTCCTGGTTTGGACCATTATTGCGGATTATCCCTTTCTAGAACCGATCGGGTGCCGAGCGGCATGTTCATGGGTGGAAGGGTGTGATGTGTGATGCCCATGGATCGTCTGCTAGGAACCTGCCGAACATAGCACCCTGTGGGCCAATCCCCTAGGCGACCCCTGCTCTGCTGCAGTGCTCACCGCCGCTGACGCCACCGCTGCCGCCGCTGCCAGTGCCACAGTATTGGCATCACCTCAAGGCGGTCCCCAGCCCCTGACACTGCCTGGTTTCCACTTCAAACTGGGACGCTTGGCCTCGGACGAAACCATATGTGTTCATGCACAAAGGGTTCTGCCAGGTGCTATCCTTTCAGGAAGTAGATGGGGTTCCCTCGTCAATGGGGCATAAAACCAATCTCAACCAGTGGAACCCATCTAATTCCAAGGAAACTATCCGATCAAAGGGACACCCTATGGTTTCCACGTCCCCGCAAAACGCCCACCCCCCTGTGCAATTTGTAAAATAGATGGTCCTGGTAAAACAAGGCATGAAACCGATCACACCCCCGCCACTTACCCCCCCCCCCCCCGGGTTTTGGCCACCGTAAAATAGATGGCCCTGGTAAATAAAACAAGCAAAACAAATAAACATCCCCGCATACGCCCCCTCCCCCCGCAAACCCCCCGGGTTTTTTCTGCCACGACCGCCATGGAAATTCCTTTCTTCGGCCCCCAGCAGGTCGGGGACCGGCTCCGTAGCTTCTGCAGCCGCTCGAGGCTGTCGAAGGCCGCGTACCTCGCGGAAAAACCGAAGGCCGAACGAAGGCCTCCAGTGCGGCTCCCCGAAAAAAAAGAAAAGAAAACAAAAACCCTAAACCAAAAGCCAAACAAACACAAAAAACAAAAAAACCGTCCATGCGCCGGGGGGCAACCAAAAAGGGCAAAAAGAGGTTCAAGTGAGCCAAAAAGTCGAGAAAAGCGCGGTCGAAAATTCGGGCAGGAGCACAAACACTTTCGAACATCTACCAGGATCACCAACGCTTCTCGAACGCTTTCAAAATCAGCCATCGCAAAAGCTTTTGCACCTCGGTAATCACTCAGTCTTATGATATCCACTCTGCCGTGCTCAAGCTAGATTCACTTCAATCATCATTCTTTCGTCGTGTTGCATCCAATTCCCCCGAGTCACGAGTTATTGTGCAATATCTTGATATCATGAAGGATGGGAAGGGAATTGGTAGAGCGCAGTCAGTGCAATCCCGAGGGCCACCAAGTCAAGTGTGAACTAGAAGCCTCAAGCGGGATGCGCCGAACCTCTGCTGGGGGCCGATGCTTCACACCCCCGGAACTGAGCAAAAGAATCACTTGAACCCAGTTGCCCAGTGGCCCAGTGGCCAAGGGAAAAAACAACATGCTCAGTACATGGAAATTTTCTGCGCATCACGGATCCATGCCGAGTCTGTACCTCAAATCAGCATCGGGGCTCCTCCCTCCCTACCCTCGCCACAGCTCGGGCGCGCATGGACTCTGCTTCTGTGGGCGGCGGAGGCGGTGTGCCTCGGGTACCCAAAGGACCCAGAAATAAAAGGTTAACCTTTTGGGGCCATGACTAAAACTAGACCAAAAAGGAGAAACCAAAAGGTCAAAAGGTCGGCTTTGGGCAGCAGAGTATGACACTAGCAGTGTCAAGGCAGAACACCTTGCACAGCCGAACCTCAACATTGCGGCCATTCTGCAGGTGAACCCACCCTTGAATCTAGGCAAGGCAATGTCGGATGCCGAGCTTTGTCATAGCTGCTTGGAGAACCCTGGAATCAGGCTAGCTAGCAGGGTGCTTTGCAGTGCGCGGAAAGTGAACTTGCTGTCATTACCTGGACTTTCCGAGCGCGCATTTGTTTCTGCCGTGTGTGGCGCTCCAGTCAAGGCCAGGAATGGTTGCCGTTGTCGACTTTTTGAGGGATAATCGATTCGGTCGAGGAATTCACTGCACAATCTGCCAAAACGAAGAAATCGAGATGCCCGGAAATACGAGACATGGGAAACATTGTCAAATGGACACCAACGCTTGAGGCTTTTTAGCCAGGCTCTGCGCAAATTGGGTTTTAAGAGTCTCAGCACAATCAGAAGTAGGGTTCCCTCAGGCGGAAAAATAGTCCGCCATCCAGGTGAACGTGTCCGGCAAATGTTGTGCTGTGATATCCTGCCCAGGGCAGTTCCGCACCAAGCCGCTCAATGCACGCAGCAGCTGTTTAGAGGCAGGATCCCACCACGCGCAGCGCAAGCGTCGCCGTCCAACATCCAAAACTGACTTGGAGCCACAAACAACCCCAAGCAACAACTCACTGGCCGAGTGGATGGCCCAAAAAGTCCAAACTTTATATGTATAACTAAAATGGTCTTCCCACAAAGTTTAACGTCATGAACTCAGGAAGTGAGACAAAACAACACGAACCATGCCCGACGCCTCCTGCAAGACCGATGTCTGAGGAGCCACCCCATTCCCGCCTCCCACGAGCGTAGAATGGCATGGCAGCTGCCCAGGTAAGGAGACGCCTCCGACGAACAGCTGCCGGCCGAAGCCAGGCAACTCTTTACGTACTAACAAAATGGGAGCCAACCAAATTGCTTCCTGACCTGCTACCAGCATGTCGCTGCTCGTCTGCGGTAGTAAAACGCATGACCCACATTCACGCCATACTGTATAGCTGAACAAAAAACCATCGAACAAAACGCAGAAGCACTAACCTTCACAATAGTAGGTCTCTTGTGAACAATGAACAGAACACAAATACCCAAAGAAACAACTTGCCAAGAACCGTGAAGCAAATGGAAGACTCCTGGAAAATAAAAAAATAGCATATTTCCAGTAGTGAAATCGATTCCCTTGCAAGCCAACAGGGGGAAAAAACATATTCATTTCAGCAAATGCAAGAAGTGCGTGCAGCTCCTGAGATCCGGGTGACTCTGCTAGGCTTCTCTCGGTGCCAGGCTTTCGGGCGCCACTGCATCCTGCGCGAAATTGATCGAAGACCTGCGGCTACTTATCCTCCCACCCTAAGGGTCCCCATTGACCGAACAAGACCGGCGAATTCTTAGGGAACGAGAGAACCGCATCCTTTCTCAAAAATCCGCCGATCATACTAAATTCCGAAACCCTAAGGGCCCCCATCGATTTTGGGCCCTCAAAATTGGTTGTTTCCCAAGGGATGGGCCCGGAATTCTGCATTGGAAGGGGCATGAAGGGCAGCAACTAACATGGAACCTGACAGGGGGCTCCTTTCAAAGGAAACTGGTCCTCCAGGACCCAACCTCAGGTTCCATGCTACGGGCAAATATACTGAAATTGCAGATGCCAAGTCTGACCGAATGGGACATCACCCTGGCCACTCGGCGTGCGAGTTTTTTCAAGCCCCTATCGTACAGACGATATGCCGCATTTCTTGTTTTTTAAAGAAAAGAAGAGACGCGGCTAAGCCCAATGCCTCGCGGCACCTATCATCCGAGGCACCTATCATGTGCGTGACCTGATGTCCAAGCCACGCCGGCCAGATTTTGTTGACACGTGTCAGGTGCCCGCTTCCCGAGGCCCAAAAGAAGTCCTAAAGCTTTCTGTTTACCACGAAAATGGTCCAAACAAAGAGAAAACATCAACAAAAAAGCAAAATTAGAACTCAGTAGATGACTTTGTCTAAGAAAAAGAAAGAAAAGGAACAAAAAAACCTCCAAACCTTCTGTTTACCACTAAAATGAGATCTTCCCCCAAAAAGCTTCAAAGTCCCGGAACGAGTTCAGGACGCGAGGCGGCGTTTGAATCCCCGCGCAAACACCCGTGAGCCCGGATCGCCTGCCGCCGGGGAGGTGACGTGGGCGCAGGGCTGCTGGCCACCTGGCGTTTGCGGAACGGCCTGCGGGTGTCGACGTTTGGTTCCCTCCTCACTTCCTGAGTGGATTGGTCCAAAAAAAAGTGCAAACTGTTTATTTAACACTGAGTTGCTCTTTCGGTCCATTTTCTCACTTGGTCCTTTTGGTCCTGTTCTAGGGCTACCTTCCATTTCCATTCTCACTTGCCCAAAGGACCCAGAAATAAAAGGTTGACCTTTTGGCACCTCCACTAAAAATGGACCACGGGAAAACCAAAAGGTCAAAAGGCCGGCTTTGGGCAACTGAGTTTTGTAGCCATGACCACCCAGAAGGTTGACCTTTTGTTCTGGGGTGTTTTGGGCAGAGATGAGGTAATGTTGACCCAGACTTACAAACCCGCCTGGATCGCCAGTTGCTGTCTTTCATGCACTTTACCCCAAAAACCAGCAAAAGTGACTGAAAAATTCAGCAACTTGGCTATCTAGGCGTCCTGTTATGAGGGGGGGATGAATCTCCTCCAAAAGTGGTCTGAATCCCCACTAAAAGGGGACACCCCCCTATTAATCAACCAGGGGTTCTGCTTAATCCGGGGTTAACATTAAACCCTGCGGAAAGGAGGTGCAGGCATGAAATACAATTTGGCAGCGCCAGTATTCAACTCTTTTGCTGGCCAGTGAGTTACCTGCGCAGTGCAATCTGGTGGATTCGACGGAAAGTCTACGTGTATAAACAGATTCTAAGATATTCTAAGCTTTGATCCCCATTCTCTTCACCCATTGCTCTCTTTACGGCAGAAACCTCATATTTTCCAAGGTGTTGCTGATTTGTTTCTCAAGAGAAAGATCCGTGAAGAGAATGGGGAGGGTACAGCTAGAAGGAAAAGGGAACGCCACGTCAAACTCTGGCAAGTTGACGTCACTTTCATGCAAGTTCATTGCCGGTAGGCTGAACAGAGTTCAAGTCCGCCTGCTTCGGCAAAGAGTTGAAGCAATAGAAAGAGACAATATGGCACCGCCAAGTTGCATTGAATGCCTGCACCTCCTTTCCGCAGGGCTTACATGGACTTGCATGCCATTCCGGACTTTCAATATCTGAAGCCAAATGGAAACAAAGGAGAGCAGCGAGCTTCGTTGCAGAATTCGGAGAAAAAAACGACCAAGGTTCAACCAAAATCTTAAAATCACAAGATCTGTTAACAAACAGCAACAAAGTAAACCCGATTCTTTCAATAAATGCCGATCTCAATTGGCCATGGGTCAAAATCCAAATCGTACTCCCAGTGAACATCCCCATCCAACCACTCAAATAGGTTCTAAAATGGGTGGTGAAATCACCTGGCCCAAAATGGGATCCCAAACCGGTTTTGACAACCACAGCCTGCTCCCCTGCTAGTTCTTTTTTTGTGGTTTAATATGGAAAACCCATTGGCTGGCAAAACGTTAAAGTCATTGAAAGTCCTAACATCCAAGCAAAGTGCACCCGCCAACAAGCAAACGAACCACTGGCGTGTGATAGCCCTACTGGACCAGGCCGGCAGCACACAGAACAAAGCAACAGCAACACAAGCGGGGAAGCAAGGTTCAAAGGTGGAAAACCGCAAGAACATAGGTTCATTCCGCCAGGGTTTTGCTTCTAGATGCCACAACTTCCTTGGGTAAGACTTGACAGGGGGCACCCAAGAAGTCGCTCGTCTCTCGCGGCCTCAAAGAAGTCGAAGGCATGTGCCGAAGTCCTGGCGCACAGATACACCACGCCCACAGACAGACACGCTGACACGCACAAACGCAAACAAACAAACGAACAAACTCTAAGAAACCAAGGAAGAGAAAAGCAAACAAACAAACAAACAAACAAACAAACAAACAAACAAACCACACAAACAAACCAAACAAACAAATAAAACAAACAAACAAACAAACAAACAAACAAACAAACAAACAAACAAACAAACAAACAAACGAACACACAAACAAACAAACAAACAAACAATCAAACAAACAAACAAACAAACACGACCAACACAAAGCAAACAAACAAACAACCTAGCAAGCAGGCACGAACGGACAAACAAACAAGCAAACGCATGCACACAAATTCACCGACAAGACAATACAACAGCGGCAATTGGAGTTCCTAACTTGAAATGATAAACATTCCCACAAGCATGCTGATTTTCTTGCCTAGGATTGTGTCACTTGACAATAAGATTGCCACATGCTGCCCCAACGATACCTAAAATAAGCACCGAGTGCCAACCCGGATTAATTAACCTATCGGATGATATCGAGTGAAAAAGGTTGCTCCCCTCCCTCCCCCCCAACCCCAAAAATGCAGTAAAGGGTCCTACCGCGGGCTACCCCTGCACTCCAGCAATCCTTGATGAATAGCTGGGCCGTCCTCAAAGCCCCTGCTAAAAGCTTAACTTCTACGGGGCCAACCACTAAAACACGCGGAGAAAAAAAAGCTCAGGTGATATCCCCAACAGCATACGGTGCTCTTTTTAGTGCTCGCACCACCCCGCAGCCCTGGCAGAACCTCGTGGAACCCTGGTGGAACCCTGGTGGAACCCTCGTGGAACCTTTACCTCAGGGCCGTCCCGGACCACCCCGGAGCCCATCTGGGCTGAGACCCCAAAGCTTGCAGCTGTTGGGGGAAAAAAACAACCACTCAGGACTCTGTACCCCCAACAAAAAGAAGAAAAACAACGAAACACCTCACTCGAACCGGATGGCTGGGAACCACCAAGCTCTGAGGCCTGGACCGGTCTTTGCGGCTGGCACTGCCGGAGCGCAAACTCCCGCTCCTCTCGGCAGCTCTCGGCTCGGGGGATCCCAGGTGTTGGTTCGGCTGCTCCGCTTGGGAGCGTTCTCTCACCGGGGTCCTTCCAATTGCACCATTTCCCTGGCCCCAGCCCCAAGCAAGAATACAAGCAGGCAAGCAACGTGCACCATGCTCAAGCAGCGCTTTCTGTAAGCAATGCTTTCTGTTACGAAAGGAAATGTTGCCTTCAAACGCGACCATGGATACACGGCTTGAACAAAGCAGCGTCCCGACAGCAAGTGGCCCGTAAAACACCGATAGCATATCCTCTCTCCAACTGCCCTGCGAGCAAAGTGAACATACTTAATAGCGAACACATGTCATGTGTTTCTGAAGGTCGGGCCACCGTACTTGAGGATATCCTTATGCCTGCTTGTGAAGTATGATTTCAATTTGCCCTGACGGGAATCTCCCCTGAAAATGTTGGAATCTAAACCCTAAAAATGCTCGAAACCCTGGACCCTAACAAATGAACGAATCTCCCCTAAAAAACCCGAGGATGGGTTGGGTAGGCGGTAGCAGGACTGGGCGCCAGAAGCGTCGGCTGAACAAAACACCCACCCATGCGAGCACCGGCACCGCTATCAGATGCTCGCTGCTGCATCCCGGCGCGGCTGACGTGAAACAGGATGCGCCGAAATTCCGAAAGCATGAGAGACAAAATGATACACGACCCCTCCTGCAGCAATTTTGTGCCACGTTCTGAGTTGCACAGTGGACATGAAAACAGGGTGCGGGTGCCACTGCTGGGTGAAGGCTGCCAAACACCCCGGCCTCATTCCACTTTGCGGTGAGTTGCGGGTGCTGCCGCCTCCTGACCATTGGAAGTGTCGCTTGCAAGAACCAACTGACTGGGCAATTCTGCTTGACATTGCTTGACGACCCGGCCGGTTGTTCCGCTGAGGATAAGCTAGGCCACCTTACATCAATAAGATTCTAGAACCTACAGGCCCAGAATCAAACACTGGACCAACAGCTCTTGATGGAGTAGTGGCCAAGCACTGCCCAAAGAATCCAAACTTAGCAATGGCGGCTGTTGGCCAGGGTGAAAGCACCTTGGTTCCGCACTTGCAAAACAACATGCAGACAATTTGCTGTTGATCCCAGTAAGACTTTTCATGGGTCCAATGGAAGACCACGCTTCTTGTCATGGCAATGCGCTGTTTGTTTCTTCTCGAGGAGATCCAAACACTTTGTTGCTGTTGACCCCTCTGCAAAAAGTTCTAACTTTTTGTGGGTTTAGTGGAAAACCCCTTCATTTCCCAAAAAGTTCAAGTCTAAAGATCCAACCCAATAGCAGTCAAGAGGGCGCGCGCCTTTGCTCTGGCTCTGTGGGCTGGGTGACCTCGTGCTGCGCACTGGGATGGGCGCCGGGATCGGCAGTGGCACGCCTCGCTCGACACTCCGCCCGACACCCCGGAGCGTCAAAGCAGTCTTACAGCCCTATGACTTCAAATGACGGCCGCAAAAAGCAACCAAAATTGAACCAGGAAACTGATATCTCAGCCCCACACCAAAAATCAACCATAACTCACACCAGCACGCAACTGCGGGCGAAACATGGGGTCCTCATTGGCACAAAACACTTCGAAGCGGACCAGACGCGCCCCGCAAGCCGCAAGCTGCTGAAAACCAAGTCACGCTGCACTTCCTCTGGCTCCACGGCAAAGCGAAGAACGGAACTTGCCGACCGCATGAACAAGTACCACGCTTGGCTGAATTGGTTGGCAAATACATCCGGCAAAAGGATCAGTTATTGGTTGGCAAATACATCCTCTTAGTTGGTGAATGAGCCCAAGTGAACAACAAGTTCTTAGATTCACATCCGAAGTTGTCATGATCACTCGTCGGCTTCCTCGAGGGCGGCAAACTGCGGCAAAGCGGCCCTGGCAACGCAGGCCCTGCCTGACATCTTTGCGTAGTTCTTCGCGGTGATTCCATGGACATCCTGCGTCTGAAGACAAACCAGGCGTCCAACCGAATTATCCAACGCTGGAACCTGGAAGCACCAGCTGAATGCAAAAAAACAGTCGTGACATGCCAGAACATGGCAAGACAACTGTTGAAGTGTTCCAGCGAACCTCTGGTCCTTTCAAGCGGCCTCCTGTAGACCTTCAACTGCGCACCAGCAGAATCAGCACCCCAGTTGAGTTTGTGCGTCGGGATGGGCAGGAAAACAACTGACGCATCTGTGAACTTGTGGATTCCCGCCAGGTGTCATCCTGGTACTGGGGAAGCCCTAGGAAGCAAATCAACCTGATGCGGGTGGATCACCTTGATCACTTGCTGAGTACACTCACGCGTTTTGCAGAAATCCCGGCGCTTCACAAGCAAAAGCCGTAGAAATACCTTGCAGTTGTTTTTCCCGGCGTGACCGACATCAGACCGAGTGGTTGGCAGATACGGCCATAAATTCAAACCACCCAGGGGCGGGGTTCACCCTTGCACCAACAAAAATCCCGGCCTTGAGGTCGCAAAGTGTCTGGCTGACCCGCTGTGACAGCCACCCCAAGACCTGGCAACGTCAACAGGCAGGAATTGTGGGCCGCACATAAAAACACAACACGATGCCAACGAGACAAGCGGAAAACAAAGCAAGCAAGAACAGCAGTGCAGCACAAACCTACTGCAGTGCAAATAAGTGTTTGCAAGCATGTCGCGTTAGCTAGTGATCCAAAACAAATGCAAACATATGCTACCCGTCTGGCTACCCAGCTCAGCTTACAAATGCACGTGAACACCTCAGCCGTGCAAACCCTGCCAAGGATGGCCACTGCTTGACTAGTCAGCTTGCACCGCCCACGGTCCTTCCAACTGAAGCTTGTCACAAGGTTCCACCATGCCGCGAAGCGTTGCATTGCCTCAACTATCCCCAGGTCTTTTTATAAAACATCAGTCTTCAGGACAAAACAATGTTGAGCTGGCTGACGTGCCTGCACAGAAATGTCTGCACTCTGAGATTTCCATACTCCCAAGAAATGCCATGAGCATGCACCAATGCGTTTCGAAGACTGCGGTGCTCGCCTTCTGGCTGATAGCAATGGAGTCCCAAGCCTAAGAACTTGTTGCACGTCATGGCTGGGCAGCTGTCATAGTCAAGGCTTTTGACATAGGTCGCTCCTCCCCTCCTCCCCTCCTCCCCCAGCCTCATGCAAGCCGGCACGCCCAGCCATGTGCAAGGCAGACCTGACAAGGCAAATCTTCGAAAGTCGCACAAGGAATGCCCTCCCTGTGAAGGAGGCCACAGCTTCGGCGGACCCCCCCCCCAATCGCATCCAAAACATCAACAAGTTCCAGCAGGGATCCCTGGCCATTTGCTCACGTGAAGGCCACTCTTGTCTCTTCTATAAAGTCAGCCCTGACTGAACAACTTTTCTCAAATCCCCCGACACCACCTTGAAAGTGAATAGGTCCTTTGCAACGCACCACGCAGACCGTCCCCGCGTTGGACACCCGTGCGTGAACAACCGCCCCGCAGGAGCAGCCTCAAGCTAAACACGCTGAATTGCGACAAATTCTGAGCTGCGACTCTATTCACAACGTGTCAACATGCCCAGGGTGACTTTGCCACTTTGTTGGCTGCGTGGTACATGATAACTCGCTGACGTTTGTCCACGAAATGTTCGTGTCTGGAGCAACTGATATTCACCTGGCTGATCCGGTTCCTCAACGGGCAACAGGTGTCTACATCACCTCATGTGTAAATACTAAGGCAACCCTTCAGGGGTCCTCTCTAAACCTGATCGCTGTTTTGTCCTCCACACCCGTAACGGGCATGTGAAAACCCTTGAGGTATTGCTTAAGTTGAGAAAGCCGTTGGGGTCGCGTCTCAATTGACCGTGGCCGTGGTCCCCGGATCCGTCCCGGGAACCGTCTCCAAACCTGCGGGCCGTTCGTTTGAACGTGGGTCGAAGCTGAGGCCCCTGCTGCCCGCGCCGGTTGAGGATGTTCACATCAGACTTCCTCTCGCATAGCAGGGTGCGGCCAACACGGGCCTTTCCGTCAGCTTTAAAAAAAAACACGGTGCACATATCCTGCGGAAAGCACACCACAGCAAACAGGCTGATCCCCTCTCACACCAACGTTTCCATGCTCAAGTAAACTCTCCCGGCTGCAACACCGGAGGAGCTTGATCGAAAAGATCTGTGGCACTTCCTCATCAGGCAATCAGGAGCCAGGCAGTTTTGCAAAGACCTTGGCCCCTGGGCCAATTTTGGCCCTGGACCAATTTTGGCACTGCTCACCCAGCTCCTCTCAAGCAGCAACTTGCACACATCCTTGGATGGCCTTGGAAGCGGGGCCAAGAGCTTGACGTGTTGGTCTCAGAAAGTTACGTGAGCTGCCAACTGCAACAAAGGTATCTTCCATTTGGCTAAGACCCCTGACAAAAGATACAACATATGTCCAGTAGTGATAGGTTCCCTGCAAAACCAACAGGGGAAAATAACAATATGTTTAAGCAAATGGAAGGTATCAGTTGAGCATGCACAACAAATCACAAGCCAAACGACTGAATGACTTGTCGTACTTATCTGAGCCACAACAACCACGCCATGCCGTCCATGAACGAAGTCCACTCACCTGTTACGAGGCATTGGCAGCCCCTCAGCCAAACCAACTTGCCCGTTCCCGGGAAATTCGTGTGAAGACACAACCTAGAACAAGTTGGGAATGGGAAGCTGTCTTGTGCAGGTCGTGAACTGGTTGATTCCGAGCAACAGACAACTGATCCCAGAGAACATAAGTTATCGTCTAGCATTCTGCTTCCCTCTAATTGGTGGTTTGAAGCCCGCTGGTTTGGTGAAATGGGGCTGTAAACCTCTAGAAGAACCAGGGGTTCAAATCCAAACAACAACTGGTGAAAAATCGAGGCCGCTTTGAAACCAAAAACAACGGGTGAAACATAGAGACCAACAACGAATGGGCGGGGTGCCTCGTCCGCGCCTCTCAGCGCCTCGTCCGTGGGTCTGAGCCCCCCGGCGCGAAGAAGAGCGGCGCTTGGCCGTGGCGGTCGCAGGCGTCCACGTCCGCGCGGTAGAAAAGCAGCGCCTGGCGAAAGCGGGCCGCGGGGGGGGCGGGGGGGGCCAAAAACGGGGCCCAAAAAAACCACGCCAAAAGGGGAATAAAGGGACCCCTGAAGCCGAGCTCATTGATACTCATGGGGCCTGGGGGAGGGGAGGGGAGGCCAAACAAGACCTTGTCGAGGAGTGGGCCCGGAAAAAGCCCCACCAAGCCCCAAAAATGACTGAAGTCCATCAACTCACTAAGTGAGGATAGGTAGGGAATGACTCTTGTGACAGTTCTGATAGATCCGATGACACTAACACAAATAACACGAAATCATTGCCCGCAAGCGTGTTGGACAAGTGGGAACTTAACAAGTGACAACCTCAACTTGCTGGGGCTCAGTAGGGAATGACCGAGCGCGGGTGTTGGGAACGAACATGGTTTTTGTCGAATAACGGACACCATCTCGGAGGGATGATATTCTTGCTCCCCGAACAGTCTGCTCATAAGTCAGACCCAATGGTCACTCAGTATAAGCTATGCAAGCTGCTCAGTCAACAGATCCCATGAATCACTCAAGAGCCAAGCTATGTAGAGAAAAAGCAAGGCAAGCTATGTAAGCTCATAAGTCAACGGACCCAAGGACAGTTGGCCTTCAACCTGTCAAAAGCCAAGTTTGCTTCCGCCGAAGGGAACTCCATACAGCCTCTAGTTTGTTTCATTCATTGAGGAGTGACTGAATGCGCATCAAAAAACTTGGTTGCTGCTGATGCCTCTGCAACAACTTTAACTTTGTGGTTTAGTGGAAAAATCCTTGATTTCCCAAAAAGCTAAGGTCTAAAGATCCAACCCAATAGCAGTCAAGAAAAGGAGGAGACGCCAAGCAGGTTCTTGCAGCTGCGGCGCTGAAACACGTTGCCACGGTCAACAGGCAGACCATCGCCTTCATTTCAATAAACTACCTGTCTGCACATGCGTGAAACAACAGGGATCCTTACATGAAAAACACCTGAACATTGCAACTTGTAAATGGTGGTGTCCCTTTATTTTGGTGGAAAAAGCCATGCTTCAAATGGGCAACATGTATCTTTTAAGGAGCCCTGAACAACTGGCGTCATTCTGTTTTTCTGTTTCTGGGGGGTATCAACGTCAAAAGCAGGTTGGCCGTTTCCCTTTCGCCTCCCACTGAACCGGGGTGACTTTGATGGTATGTGACCAGCACAATCGGCCCGAAAGCCAACCCTAGTCCTCAACAAAGTCAACCCTAAGCAAAATTCCTAAGCAAACCCTTGACCAACGATCCCGAGACCAGCCCTTTAACCTCCCGCGCAAAAAATCGAACGACGGGACGGCCGTGAAATCGAACGACTCCCGCCTTGCACAAGTCCGGGTTCCCATCGAAGGTGGCCAGGTGCAGCGGGCTGACGCCCTGAGAGATCTCTCTCTCTCACACCCTGGGAATACACCCACTGGGTATTGACTAAAAAAGCAAAATTCCGGATGAAACCGTGTTTTTTCAAAAATGTAATCCCAGGGTGTAATACAAAAACGCTCAGACTCTCTGGAGGTTGGTTGAGCATTTGCTATGAACGTGGGATGACCATTGGTTGGGAAACCACCATGTGTGATATTTCGCGCATGGAGAAAAGTTAGCCGTGGTCAAATTTGGGGCCCTAGATGGAATATTGATCAAGCCCATGGCAAAAACTCTGGCCCAACCAACCAGCCGCCGACCGGCCGAAGGGGACACTTGCGCATTTTGCTGGGTGAGAAAACCGGAGTTTTCTAAATGGCATAGTCTGCGAAGGGGAATGTATTTGCAAAAAATGTCCAAGTTGAGTCACTCGCTGGCAAAGGAGTTTCTCAGATCAGGGAGATCGGGGGCTGTCCAGACGCGCATGATTCCATGAGCCAAAGCCCAGCTCCTGATGCTCGACTTTGACGTAAAAGAAAACACCGCACAATAATCATGATCATAGGATAACAATAGTAATAATGACAATAAACAAAACAACAACCAAATGCAAGGCGATGGGAAGCAACTTCTAAAATGAAGCCCTTTATTGGTGAAGCATGGCAAAGCACGATTATTTTTTATCAGCATGCAAGCCAACAAACCAAACCTTGCTTGTCCCTTCTTTGCGAATTTTGGCCTCCGCCAACTGCGTAATCATAGCAAGAGCTGTTCAAGGCTCGCAGCGAAAAGTACAGAAGCAAGCCAGCTTCAGTTTATGAAATTGAATGCATGAAAGCCGATCTCCTCAGAGTTCCATTTGCCTAAGCCCCCTGGATTGCAGCGATGGGGTCCTTTCAACACCAAACAAGGGGGAAAACATATTCTCGAGCAAATGGAAGCCTACGGCAGCTGCTATGCCAAGAAAAGCACGAGGTCTGACGATTTGTTCCATCAGGACACATCCCATGTGATCAGCTCATGTCAGTCCTTGTCATCTTGCTCGTTGGGGCTAGCGCGGGCCTGTCTCAAGGTCTCGAGGCGAATCGAGTGGAGCAGTGCCGTGACTCACGTCTCGTAACGAAAAGGTGTGAAGACGGCTCCTCTCCAGGGGTGCTTGTACATACCCCTGGTACATAGCTCTTGCACAAATGAACCCAAAAGCCCTGCTGGGTTGGAAACCAGGGAAGCCAAGGGGTATGAACAAGGGGTATGTACAAGGGGTATGTAGTTCCACCCTTAGATGCTCAACAGCAGGCCAACACGACACTATGGCACGGCATTGGAATGCCAAGGATCTTTGCAAAGCGGACTAACAGGTATTGGCTTGCGGCAACGGCCCCACAGCAATATACCAGGTTGGAAGAAAACCAAAGGCCTGAAAAGTACTTGCTGGGGCAAGTCGACTACACAAAAGGTTGAGCTGTTTGAGTAGACAACCCTGAGGCCAGGCATGCGGCATGGCTATGCACACACAGAAAGACTGGCAGTGTGCGAATATAACACCGATCAAAAGTTGCGGTATTAATCAGGGTTGCACTTTCCTGCCTCCCAAGCCAAGCTTTTCAACGGCACTCAGCACAAAGGCTGACAAAGCATGGCTTGAAACCTGAAATAGGCAGTGTCGCTCTTTAGGCTTGCGCGAGAAGAAAGGAAATGTGGTAAAACATGAATAATAATTCTCCCCAAAGGCAGCAGTCTAATGTTTCCTCCATATTATTTTGCGTTAAACGTGCGTAACGCCAATTTACAGACATTGACATGCCACTGACCTGCAAACCAAATCCAAACCCGGGCGGCCTTCAATAGAACCTTGGTGCACTCCACATTGCCCGCGCGTACCGCCGTAGTCAGCGGCGAAGCTTTGGCGTTTCCCTCAGTCGGCACAAACGGCTGCATCGGCCATAGCTTCGTATTAGCATGAACCACCAAATGTGGCAATTCCTAACTTTGTCTCACCAAACCTAACAAGTGGATTGGACGACAAAGGCCTGAAAGAACTGTTTGCTTCCCACTACAGTGGTCCAAGCCCCCCCCCAAAAAAAACAACAACAAAAAAAAAGAAGCCTGACAAAAACGTGCGTGTGTACCTCTAAGGTGGTCCAAGCCCCAAAAAAAGTTTGAAGTCCGCCACGGAACGCCCGGTGCGTCGTATCCGACGGGAGACCTGAGGCACCCCGGCCAACTTGATGGCCTCCGGCTTGAAGCGGAGCAGCGTCTGCAAGGCGCGGAGCGCCTGAAGTCGCAGGCTTTCCAGGGCCGAGGGAAGCAAAAACCACTAAGAACACATCATCAACCGTCAAGTGTGCTTTCCAAAAGCCAAGGTAGGCATAAGAAAAACCACAGTCAACCATGAAAGTTGCTTTCCAAAAGGCAAGGTAGGCATAAGAACACATCATCAACCATACAATTTGCGTTCCAAAAGCCATGGTAAGCATAAGAACGTTAGAATCAACCATGAATTTTGCCAAGGTAAGCATAAGAACGCAGAATCAAACATGAAGTTTGCTTTCCAAAAGCCAAGGTAGGCAAAAGAAACACAAAAGCAACCATAAAATGAAATCATTTGGAGGTTCCTTCTTTGGGGTAATGCGCCCTTCGCCACAAAGCCTAGGAGTGCATGGTGCTGGATGTCGCGGACTGGAGCCCTGAGAACTCCCGCCTGCTGGCTCAGGTCAGGGGAGCCTTCCAGCGTCGCCTGGAGGAGGTTCTGGAACTCGCCTGGGCCCATGAAGCCCTGAACCCCTCCGTTTCTTGTGTTGTGTGTCAAGCGAATGATTGCAACGGCGAAGAACATGAAAGCTACTTCTGAATTGCCAGTAGGCTGATGTATGCTGCAAAGTCTGCCAACCAAGTACTTGAGGCGGTCAGTCAGGCGTAGGATCGCCATGGTGCAGCAAGTCAGGCAAGCCAAGCTGGGATGAGTTTTATGCCATTCCACTAGTCGCGAGATTGGAAAAGACGGGATCTGGAAAAATACGTCATCGGGGCTGAGAGCGCTGGCATTCTGCAGGCACGGCCTGGCAGGCATAGAATCCGACGGAAGTTCCGGACGTGTCTTCCATGTGTGAACCCAAGAACGTACTCCTGCATTGAAAAGCCTTTCAGAGGAGCAGGGAGCTACACGCATTGCGCATAGTTCACTGATTGAGCAGCTGCAACTGCCAAAGGCCCGCCCAGCCTTTTGCCTGCTGGAATCTGGCCACTGTTTGAGAACTTCCATGCTAGACAAAGTGAAGCAACTACCGTCACAAGGACTGCAACTCTCTTGGTTCCTCTCAGTAACATCTGCATGCTCGGCTGGCAGGAAGCCCGCCCCACCAAGCACTCGCCTGCTCCATGTCAGTCTCAATGTGTACATCCTCAAGAGAGCTCGACGACCGGCGTCTTAAGCGCGAACTGCTTGACGCTGGGAGTCCCTACATTGGATTCCAAACAACCCCAGGGTTCCATGTTTGACCCAATCCTTGGCCTGTTTTAGGGGAGGCAAATGATGTGAGTGCCAGGGATTGTTGCGCTAACCGGCTCGTCAACGGGGAATCATTTGATAGTGATCCTCTGCCAAGCTTGCAGGCATACCAAGATTGCATCATCGTCATTGCATAAGGGATGAATGCCAATGGGCGCACTTCCGGCAACGCGTGAGCTTCACCTTTCCGGAATCCCGCGGAGCCAATTCTTGGCACTGTAAGTTCTGTTGGGGATGCTGCCCTCAGTACTACCAAATCCTTGCGGTCACAACACCAAGCCATTTCTGCTCAAGCGCCGCACGGGCAAATCCTTGGGAGAGGCCGGGGCAGCCCGCACCTGTCGAGTAGGCCCCGGAATGTGCCTACCCAGGAAAGGTTTCAATGCGGGTTCTGGAATCGCTTGTCTTGCGGTCATCCAAGCTCATTAACAGAACACAAGGGTTAATAGCACAACAATTAACCGCAAAATGGGCATCAGCCAAAAGCGAATCATCACCAACCTGCCAGCCACTACGTTGGAAGTCACTGTGCCATGAGTTCCCACGCAGCCTCATGACTCATCTCGAATTGAAATGGATCCCAGAATGGAAAAGCACACAATGCTAAGCAGGCGCCAACCTCAAACCAGGGCAAACGTGAACGTGTCACGATTTGAGATAAAAATAGAAGAAAGAGAGAGAGAGAGAGAGAGAGAGAGAGAAAGCGAGAGAGCAAACATATCACAGCTTTTCAAAATGAGCAAATATGTTTCCATCAAAGCAGCAACCCTCAACCCAAATGCTGCGAAATCTCCATGGACATTCTTTCAAACATGCTCATGCATAATTAAACTCAGCCTCAGGATGTTGCGTGCAAAACCGCAATGGAACCATCGACTACAAACTGCCATCTGCAGTGCGGCCTTGATAAACCAAGATGCTGGGCGACTGTCCCCTTCCCACCCACCAAAAAAACACATAGACGGAAGTTTACATAACTTGGCTCGGAGCGCCTTAAATGCAAAGATGCATGGACCAGAAGAATGCTGTCATGGCCGTGCGGCGGAAAGCCAGGGAGATCCTTCAAACGGTGGCAGCTGTGTGCTTGTTGTATAGGGGAGCCGAAAGTAAACCAACCACCTAGTAAAAGTTTTTGTGGGTCCCATGGGAAAATCCAGGTGATTCGACAAGTAGAAGTCCACAGATCTGTTACCAAATAGCCGTAAAAACGTGTTCCTTCCCTCTAAGCCAAGTGCGACTGGAAACATCCCAACTGCCAACTGCCTGGCTGGGAACGGGAGCTCCTAGCCGCAGCGCCCATGAAAGTCAGCAAGAACCCATGTTTTTGTTTTGCGATTTTTCCCCATATTCGCACGCACACGGAGTCTGGCCCCAAGATTTAGCAATTAAAGTCGCCCCCGTTGAGTGGGTGACTAGGTAAACCACCAAGCTTCTGACTTTGACAGTCCCCAGAAATGGCCAAAATAACTAATGACTTCAGGCGGCGAGACAGTCCGAGACCAGCTAGACCCTGAAAGGCCAGACATGAACGTGATGCTGTCACCTGTATGCATTGCATCGCGTGCTCCGGGCTGATCAAAAGAACCCAGCACCAGAAAGGCCAAACATGAGCCTAATGCTGACAGTAAATGAATTTGCACCAGAAACATTGAATCGCCGTGCAGCAAGAAAAAGCGGTTCGCCCAAAACACCTCCTACCCTGGAGCCAAAGACCATAGTTCCACATTCATGCTGCCAGCCGTACGATTAAGCCCTTTCAATGATACCAACCAGGAACTCTGACTTACAGCCGAAACGGCTCAGCCCAGGATGACTCTGGAATCACCTGCGACTTGAGGTATTATCTTCGACAAGCAGGCAACACGTGCAGTGGCTTGTTCCTATTGTTGTGTTGCTTCTGCATGAATATGTTCTGGGAACGTGAGTCCTTTGATTCAAGCAACTTCAAGCTGGAAAAAGGATCGGAGGATGGCCAGTCTTCCCAAAGCTCCCAACTTTCCACCACGGAACTCCAGAGGGCCCAATGCTTCCAGGCCAGTCCTGGAGGTGGGCTCCTCCCACGTGGCCTCGCAGGAAAAACTCCAAGGTGGGAGACCAGAGACCAGAGGAGACAGCCAGAGGTTCCCACCACGCGGGAATTCATCGTTGCCGCTGGCAAATGACAAAAAGAAAACACCTCCGGGCCGGGCATCTCTTGTGTCACTGGCTTGTCATTTGTTTCAATCGCTCAACGGCAAACTGATATTCATGTTGGTGCAAAGGTTGCGAACACAGAAATGAGAGCAAATATGGGAGCAGGTGCTGTCTGTCGGCCGTTTTCTCTGGAACAGGACCTGCCAGGAAAGCAACTGCTGTGGCCCAGGCAATACTGGATTGCAGCCGTGATCTAATGCACTGTTGGAAGAAGGCTTTGATTGGCTGCAACTTGCTTAAACCCCAGCCCACCCAAGCAAGCAGAGCGTTTTGCAGATCTTCGTGGCACGACTGGTGGCTCCTTCTATCGAGGCTGGCCAATGTCTAAAGTATATGTATGCACAGTTTCCACCCTGATACTGAACAGAAAGACAATGAGAGCTCCAGGGGTTGCAACAATCAGCTGTCAACACAACCCAAGCCCCACGAAGATCGTCAACACCGTTCACGCATCAAGGGAAACCGTAGTGATCGCTGAGAGCTACTAAAACCAACGACTCGTCTGATGATCGTCGGAGTTTTTGTTAGGCGCCCCAGGCGGCGACGAAGAGTTCCGCATCCGTGGGAAGGTGGCCCTGGCATGCAGTCAAAAAAAGTCGGTGGGAAGAACTTGAGTTCCAAGCCAGGCTCATGTGCAAGATTACGAAACCCAGTCAAGGAGATGGTAATTTGGACACATGGGAGAACCTCTGTTGAAGCACATGCACGCCAAACGTCCCAAAAATATGTTGTGAGATGCATGTTTCACCGAAGTCAACACCCTTCAGTCCATCAACGGTTGCGAGGCTGCGCCTTTGTTCACGTCTCGGTGCTTGATTGGCTGGAGATTGAGCTGGAGCTTGAGCTGGAGCTGGTGCTGGAGCTTGAGCTGGGGCTTGGTACCTCCCACTCAGGTGCTGGCTGCAAATGTCTCGAACCCTTGTGAGTGCAGCAGAGGCAAAAGCCCTCAAAACAATTGCTGCCCATCCTCTGTTCATGGAAAGATCCATGACCATAAAGTGGGTGGAACCCCCAGCTGCACCGCCAAGCAACAAAAGGCTCCTGAACAATCCTTAGCTCATGGATCGGTTGCCAGACTCCCTCCTGGCCGCGCAAGCATTGATGCCCAAGAGCGGCTATGCCTGGTTCTGAGACCACAGACGTGCTTGCTGTGCAAGTCAAGTCCAGCGACGCACGCGCAGTTCTGCTAGCACTACGTCCTGACAAACTAAAACCAGTGTTCAAGGTCAATCTCCTTGGGGAAACCGAGCGGGGCCCAAGCCTGAAGACCTGTCCGCAGTATAAGGCTACAAGCGGGGGGGGGGAGACCAACATAACGGAGGCAGTGGTTCAATAAACCATGCGGCCCTTTTCAACATCGCAAACACGCAAACATGTGCCCCCTCCCCCTAAGGACATATATTCTTGCCACGGAATACTCACCCCCCCAACCACCCACCAGCCCCCCCTTTCCGGGCCCCCCCCAACCCCCCCACCAACCCCCTCCCCCCCAAGCCCCACCCCAAGCCGCCCGAAGGGCGTGTATGGCTCGTGGACCGTCCTTCAGTTCCCATCAATCCTTCCGATGGCTCGCACGGTTCAGCCAGGCGCACTTCACTTGAGCCTTCGGCGATGGGTTGGCCTCAGGTCATGGACTGGCGCTTGGAGTAGGGGTTGATCAACATTCCATTTCGGCCCCCCCCTCCCCCCTCCATGTTTGACCATAGGTAACTTCTCCCATGTGGGAAATATCATCTTTTGGTGGTTTTCCAACCCATGGTCATCCCATGTCCATCGGACCTTTCTTGGCAGGATCCCGTTTGCAGCTGCAAATCCACCCCAAACCAAACGCTGCCGTCTTTGGTGACACGGGATGAGCAACCGGTTTCCCAGCATGAAGCGCAGCGAGAAACCCAACGAACAAAACCGGCGAAGTCTGAGAGAACGAGAGAACCGCATCGTTCCTCCAAATCCGTGGGCCATACCAAATTCCCAAACCCGGAGGGTCCCCAAAGATTTTGGGCCCTCAAAATTGGCTTCCAAGGGCCCTGAATGGTCGGGGTCGGGGTTCTCCATTGGAGGGCCTGGAAATCTGCATTGGGTGCATGACCCTTAGGGGAGTGTCCCTTTCTTTTCAAAGATTCGGAGGTTCGAGTCCATGGCCACTTGCGCTCGATGGGGCAAATCCGGAGCCAGAGCCTCGCGCGAGAAAAAAACACGCGCATCACACCTGCACCGCCTTGCACCGCAGCATGGCTCAGGCATGACGTCCATGTTGCCCATGACCATGACTCTGCCCTCACCCGCTTCCCTGTCCGCTCCTCTTGCGGCCTCTCCGCTCCGCGACGCTTCAGCTCCTGAGAAGCCGGATCCATGCGGCTGTGGCTCAAGCAAATGGAGACATGGCCGCCTGGTAGACGGAGGCAAAGAGTCAAACCGGTGGTTTGCCCTGGCTCTGGAAGACTTTGAGCCACACCCATGTCATCATCTCCAACGAGACCATCTGGTGCCAGTTCCGATTGGTCACAGCTTGCCATCCAAACATGGTCATCGACACGATTGCAAGTATACCAAACATAAAACAAGATTGGGCAAATCAGCACAGCATCGATGGCAGAAAAGCCCTTGCTCTCTTGCCCAACTTGAACCCAACCGGTCACCATATCTCTGAAGCCAGTGAAACGTATGGCTGCAAGGCTGCAGAATGTGGTCCGCCAGGACAACATCATCGGCAGTAACACCTCGTGAAGCGCCCAGCTTCTCCCCTGATCTGTTTTCATGGCTGCCCCGTCCTCGTCAAACACAGCTGAGGGAAGAATTCCGGCCTGGCGCCAAGAGGATGCTTGGGCACGCTTGGGAGTACGCTGCTGGCGCATCAAGCGGACCTTGGCACATGAAGCCGCGCATGTCCACATGTCATGATCGAAGCCTGTGCCTCTGTCCACTTAACGAGAAAAACTAAACAAAACCATCAGTCACATCGAGGCCTTCCATCTCTCAATCCAGGGGGTCGAATGAGCTCAGTCAATCTGCTCGCGAAATTGTTGTTTGCTAGCCGGGGAGGGGGTGGGTGGGTGAGCCAAACAAGAAGCAGGCCCGGATTACGACCCCCCTCCCGAACCTAATTGCAGGGAAGGAAAGCCGTTCCCTGCCGCTGACGACCGCGCCTTGTCCAAGCAGAATCTCAGCGTATCTGCCTTCAAGTGCAAAGCTTTCATGAGAAGGAATGGCCCTCATGCGGAAGGCCCTACAGTGCGAAAATGGCTTTTCAGGTAGCTGCGGACAGCCGGTCCAGTTGCCTGGCCTACGTTAATCAATCACCAGCATGTTGATATTTCATTACTTCTTGGTGGGCGGCTTCTGTGTGTGGAAGTGGCTTGTATTGCGAAGCTGTTTCACATGTCATTTAAGGCAAACTCAACAGTGGCGGATTCAAGAACTTGCAAGGGCTCAACCTCTGAGCTAGGAGTATCTGGCCACAGGAGAGCAAAATTGGCATAGAGGAACGTGGGAAGGTGCAAGGATTTATAAACCCTTTTGGCCACTGTCAGAAGGAAAGCAAGCCAAATGCAACCAAAAGGGGCCCCTCACACAAGCTTGCGCTGAGCCCTCAGATCCATTAAAAGGGATCATCCTTACAGTGACCTTTTGTGGAGCTGATTCTGGTGTGGATCCAAGGTGCCACAAACAGTACCATCAATACGTTGAATTTCAGCGGCGAATTTGCTCCGTTGAAGGGCTTGGGCAATGCTTGCAGAATGTCCAGAGTCCAGATTTAAAAACACTGCCATACAAATGTTCATGAAACAAAATACTCTGTGCTCATGCTTCAATCTGAGTGGCAAAACGGGGGCTACACAAAATCACATGATGACATGCGAGCGCTGATGACTGCCTTGGCCAAGAGCTATTGCGAACCTGCCCGAACATTCTGTATTGTACAAAACTGTGTTTGACAATCACGAGCTTAACCTTGTCCAACAATGCTTGACCTTCATCTAACTTCAACTTCTCGTGTTAGTTTGCACTGGCAGGATGCATTTCAAGTCACGCATTGCCTTGCTGGGGCGAAATCGCTAGGGAATGTGGTTGAATGAGCCCAGGCGTTGGTCCCCGAATGAAGAAACCACCAGTTGGATGGTTTGTAGACGGGTCATTCCAATTCTCATTCCCTGCATCTCTCGCAGCCCGCGCCTCAATTCTCAGCATCTCATGCTCCGCGCGAAGCGCCTGGGTTTCAGGCGCTGAAGGATGCTACTTTCAGCTTTCAGCCGGCCGGTTCCGGGCTACCCAAAGCATGGGCTGCGCGTTTTGTGGCCACTCTGCTGCAGAGGCTGTTGATGTTTCAGCTTTGTAATATCAGAGTATGGGTCTGTGCGTGCTTTTTTTTTGGTTTTAAATAACTTTTCCATGTCAGATGCGAGACAATGCTGGCTGGATGCTGCGGCTGAAGGACGCTTGCGCCAAAAGAGTAGGGCTTTAGGCATCCCGAACATCAGATGATGCTCCTACAAAAGAGTAAACTGAGTCGATAGTGGAAAGTTGGGTGCTTCATGCGATGCTTGGGAAACGCCCTTCTCTGATTAAAAAGCTACGTGATTGCAGGTGCAACCGAGGTTTCGCTGGCTGACAGCTGGGAATCGGATGTCTCCGAGACAAGCACTTGCACTCAGCGGTCTCAACAGTTTTCCTGGCCTTGTACTGACCCTCCACCACTTTGGCGTTTGCCAGCAGGTGTGCACAGGTTGCTTCAGCATCCTGGTCGCAGGGCTGGACTGCAATTCGCAATGCGAGTGCTCGAAAGATACTCAAGCTCAGCTAGGGAAAAACCCTCAACATGGCACAAGCTGGTGCTTTGGGAAACGGCGCTAAAGCATCCCTAAACCAGCCAAAACCTACCATAACCCCTTCAAACCCACCCCAAACCAGCACCACACATTAAGCCAGCGCTAAAGCATCCCTAAACCAGCCAAAACCTACAATAACCCCTTCAAACCCACCCCAAACCAGCACCACACATTAAGCCAGCGCTAAAGCATCCCTAAACCAGCCTAAACCTACCATAAACCCTTCAAACCCACCCCAAACCAGTTTAGGATTGGTTTCGGGTGGGTTTAGGGTTGGTATAGGGTTTGTTTAAAACTTAGGATTGACTTGGGTGGTTTAGGGTGGGTTGCTATCCTGGCATGTCCTGGCAGTGATGCTACTGAGGGTTGCTGGTGACGCTGATGTGGAAACCCAAACAAAAACACACGCCAGAAGCCACAACAACTTCGCGAAAGCCAAAAAGCACCCACCGACCCAACCGACCGACCGGGACCATGCCACGAGCCGGCCCGCCAAACCTACTGGGCCGCGCCCATGCCTCGGAAAACTGGCCACTGACTTCCAGGTTGCCCAAATGAGCAAGACACGCTGGAAAGCATGAAAAGCATCGCCATGCAGGATGTCTGCATCAAAAGCACAGCCTTCCCAAAGGCGAATTCAATCCACAGCAAATCAAGATTTGCGATCAGCTCTCCGGAGTTTATGCAGACTTGTTGGGTGAGCGTGGGTTGCATTTGCGGAGGTTGCCTCGCCGGTTGGTCTGCCTCCGCCAAAACCCCCAAAGCATACCGAACATATACAAGGAAGCACTGGCGACTGATCCGTTTTTTCCCGACACCGTCCCCCCTTTGAAACAATCTTGGCTGCCTTGGGCCTGGAACCTGGGTCATGGACGGACGGAACCCATGCCTTGCTCATCTGGAAGACCTTGTTAAAGCTGGCGCCCCTCATGGCCTGAGCAACGCTGGTCATGACCAGGGCGTGTCAGCTTTCCACATGTTGATTCTTGTCTAGGTCCTCCAGTAGAGAGGTTAGAATAGGGGAACCCTCCCCAAAGAAAAGGGTAAAAGGGCACTACTGGGGGACGTTGTTGTTGTGGACAAAATCTACCCAAATGGGGGAAGGGCTGCAAGAGCGGGACGCGCGACTTCCCTATGAGTGGAAACAACATGTTGCGTGCCTGCACACTGCCTCATATTGCACTGAGATCGTTTTCAGATTGGGTTGGACACCAAGAGAGCCTCTGCAAGCCAGCAAACCAGGCAAAGATGAACCCATTCGCCTGTCAACTAACGTTGACGTGCCTTCAATGCTCAGCATGGGCAGTTCGCTTCCACAATGGACAAAAACAAACCATCCTTTCAAGGCGGCGCGGCTTTGCTGCGCAATCTGAACAAGGGCGCATGGATCAATTGTGGCGCTTGGTGAAACTTCGATGTGAACTCCAGAGAAGCAGTGCGACTGCGCAGCCTCGGCCGAACACCCTCTTGGAACGGGGGCGCGCAGCATCTGGTGGCAAAGCACCCTTGAGCAAGTAGCCCGAACAGGTCTTCTTATCATGTTTGGTGGCGGCAGGCCCTTCACTGAAGAAAGCCATTAAACATCATTAAGCTCTTGTCATGGCCACCTTTGACCAAACATCATGCTTGCAAAACAAACCAGCTTCCGTGCGTGTGTGTGTGTGTCTCCAAACCCATGCCCGAAACCCTTTGGGCCAGCACCTCGCAGTGAAGAACAGCCACGGCGGCAGAGAAGGAATCCGCAAAAAAGAAAGAAAGTATGAAGCGATCATGTCCCCGTGTGGGTTGCGGTTCCCTGGCTGCACTTGCATCGCTCTCTCGTTCCTGGCAGAGCCGACTCCTGGAAGCCGAAAAATTTTGACGCTGCCAGGAGGTCAACGGGCGTCGGTCGCGATAGTAGGAGGCGGGGCATGCAACCACGCCTAAGGCCAAGTGCACCTTTCGGCGAAAGTGTTTGCTAAGCAAGGTACCATGCACATCATGGGGGCTGGGGCGGAGGGTGGAGGTGGGGGGGGGGGGGGGAGTTCTTCTGAGGCTCTTGTCAAGGCTTTTCCGGGCTTTTGGGCTCCCTGCCCCCCTCCTCGTCCCCGCCTCCTCCCCCCCCCCCAGCCCTGATGACACCACTTTTTGCTCTGGCGGCTACTTGCTCTCCATATCGGGAAGCCTTGTCCCCGCAGTCGGCTCCGTCGCTCAAGTCATACTTTTTAAGAGCCTCCATTCGTGGCCCAGGCAAGTTCAGAATCGCCGGAGTAGGATGGCCCTAAGAAGGAAAACTGAGTGGTGGAATTGTGGACTAAAAATTATGGCTCGGAACTTCGCTCTCATCACGTTTGGTGCCAGGATGCTGCCCTATCCTTCACAAGGCCACCAACGAATGCGCTCACACCTGACATGGAGGGTAAGGGCGTCTTTGCCGGTGCATTCTCACATCTGCCTTCTGTTGTGTGCAACGTTTGTGTTTCATGAAGCAGAAGTTGCTAAGATTGGGGTGCTAGCAGGTATGCTAAGTATTCTAAAAGGGTCGAGATTTAATTTGGGATTTGTTTTGTTTTATTGTTTTTGTTGGGTTTTCCGTCCTGGCTGGTAAAATGCTGTATTTTACACCATGTTCTCACGAAATGTACGTATTTTACGCTAGCCCGTCAACATCGTTTTCAACATCCCCCGCATGTCCAGCCAACATCCCCAGCATCACCAGCAAATCGAGGCCTTGGCTTCCTACATCCTCAGCATCATCAGTTCCTCTCCGGCAAGGTAGGTAAGCATTTATGTTAAAAAAAAGGGGCGGGTCCCCCTCATGATGGTAAAAGTGAGGATTCAAATACGGGTGCAAATTAATCCCTGTAAAACTCCCCAAAACGTAGCGGGGGGGTTGGGGGGGCGGCAGCCCCCCCCATGATGATTAGACAAGTGATGATTCAATTAGAAGTGATGATTCAATTGAGGAATAAAAAAACAACTAAAAAGCAGTGGGGGGTTGGGGGGGGCAGCAGCCCCCCCCATGATGATCGAAAAAGTGATGATTCAATTAGGGGCAAAAAATCTAAAAAGTAGGGGGGGTGGTTGGGGGGGCGGCAGCCCCCCTCGTGATGATCGAAAAAGCCCAAAAAACATATAAAAAGCAGGGGGAGGGCAAAAAATCTAGAAAGTAGCTGTCGCATGATGATCGAAAAAGTGATGATTCAATTAGGCGTGCATTTTAATCGAAAGGGGGGTGGCGGGGGGCACCAGAGAGGAACTGGCGATGCTGAGGAACTGTGAATGCAGAGGATGCGAAATGAAAAGCCACAAAAGCCACCAAAACCCACGCAAAACCCACAAAAGCCAAAAAGCCGAAAAACCACCCTCAAACAAAAATAAACAAAAAAAACAAAACAAACAACTTAAAACAATGGCCCTCCATTCTAAAAACACATGGGTCATCCGACTTTGATAGGTCGCCTGACACTTGTGGCAGCTGAACAGTCGATGCAATCAAGAGGATTTGTTGGAGCACGTCGGAACGAAACACTTCAGCCATGCTATGTTTTTTGTGAATGGCCGGTCAAGAATCGGCACCCAAAATGTGTTGCCCTGGTAAGTGGCAACATGGACCAACATCTGCAGTCCCCTGGTTGAAAATTTTGGCCCACACCCCATTCAAGCAACTGGGATGCATCGCAATCATAGGTGGGGTTTCCCCTGGTAGATGATTGAACCACAAGGTAAAGCAGGAATCGCAATCTATTTTCTACCAAAACAACCAAAAAGGACACCTATGATCGCAATACGGAAGGCCTGGGAACTGACACACCTCACCAGCTCCTTAGCTCCTTGCCCGCCCTCCACTAGCCGACCACTCACTCTTCGCAAGCCTGCACGGGCAGTTGGCCGGCTGACATGGGTCAAAAACGAAAAAATGGCTGTGGGTCAAAAATATGGACCCAAAATGGAATCCTGGTAAATGGAAATGTGGACAAAAACCTGCGATCCTCTGGTGGTTTAATTTTGACCCATACCCAAATAAGAAAACAGGCATGCTGACTGGGACCCAGAGGGTCCCTAGGTAGCTAAGGAGGTACTGAACGACCCCTTTTGCAATCCTCAGGAGGTACTTGGACCCTCTGGGGAATGAACTGCTAGTTGCATAAGACGCCCCATTCCGGCCATGAATGGGGAACAACATGCAGTGCGAATTGATGGCACGTACGTGCCGGTCTGACTTCGCAACTCGCAAAATCGGAGTGTCGTTTGTTTTGGGCCATGGGATGGGTTTGTCTAACTTACCTACTGCTCCAATGTTCAAGCTTGGTTGACGTTGGAGGGGGAGCAACAATCTAAATTTTAGCAGTTAAGTGGGGATTTCCCACTAAACCACAATAAGCAAAAATTGGAAAAATGTTTCCCAACGACAACCATGCAAGGGGTGCAGGAACATGCAACCCCAGCTACTTGGGCGATCTTGGGCGCGCAGCGGTGCATACGCATTGCCAAAGTTTGATTCCCCAGTCTCGTCAGCATCGCCAAAAGTTTGATCAGCCAGGTGGGCCAACTGGCCAAAGAGAAACAGGGATCCTTACATTCTACACCTGAACATTGCCTCGTACATGGTGGTTCCCCTTTATTTTGGTGGAAAAAACATGATTCAAATGGGCAAAATGTATCTTTTAAGGAGCCCTGAGAAAGCTCGATGGATGCTGCAAATGTTGGAAGACAAGAAGTGAACCGCTGACCAGCAACACCCCCGCCAACAAAATGTGTCACAGGGATAGCGCAGCCCGCTGTGACAAGTCCTGAAGCTGCAAGCCCGCCCCTTTTCTTCCATCCCCCTCGCCGCCACTTGGGTCATTTCGAAATGGCCATGGGCTCATCTTTGGGGATAAAACGGCCTAAGGTTAGGTCCGACATGGCCATGGGCTCGTCTTAGAACTGTTGCAGCTGGAGCCTTTGCATGCTTGCCGCTTCGATGCGCGCGCAAATTTTCCGCAGTCAGTGCTCACTGCAGGTCTCTCGCTATTTGACGAGGGGCATGCACCTAAATCCAGATTGCGATTCGATCGCTCCGCCAGGATATCGTGTGCGTTTGCATGCAGTGCTTTCCGGCTCACTAAGCCCAAGCTGCTCACTTAACAAGAAACAGTATGCGGAACCTTTGCTTACTTGCGTTTTGCGAAAAATCGCCGCTCAACGAAGGCAGCCAAAAGATCGCAGCTTGTTCTGCGGGGGCAATTCAAGTTCCTGACCGAGCTCAAACATCGACAGCTCCAAGGATCAGCGTTGACAGAATAAGCCACCCCGACACCCATGGTGCTTCGGCTGCCGGATAATCTCAAAGCCGGAGTCCGCGTCATGTTGAAATCACGTCCTTTACTGCTGTTCCTTTTAAGATGGCAAGAAGCCTTCTTGCTGCTTGCGACACTCTTGCGACTGCAGCACTAGCCCATCCCATTTGGGAAGGTTGGTGTCGTTGACTGGGGCCTCCAGCAGGGACCCACAGGAAAATTGCGAGCCTCAGGTGTCCCGGCTATGACTGCAACACGCTGAGAACATTTATTTGAAAAACCAGCATGCGGGTCGACGAAACACAGCCCGGAACAGGCGTTACATCTTGTGCAATCGGAATGAACACCATTGTTTGCGAGCACCCTGCTCGGGATGCAAGACGCATCTGGCAGTCTGTTCACTGTCCAGAAACTCCCTGTCCGCTCGTCTGGCAGAGAGATTCGCTGGAACATGTGAAAGGCCCGCCCTAAAGTACTTGCAAGTCAACCACTGGTTCTTTCCATGAGCATGTTGATGAGGAGGTGCCACAGAGAACCAGGGCAGTGCAAAGAAACAGTTAAATAGGAGCAATAGCTTGTGAATGGGCAGGTCAAGCATTCCTACAAACATTGGGGCATGAGCAGTGTGGCTAGAAATGCCATTGATATTTGAGAAGTTGAAACTTACCTTGGTTGTCGGCAGTCCTTGTATCTGTGTGGTTGGTGGCACAAGGTCTTTGGCCTGATCGCGCAACTCCAGTTCTCACTTCCGCAAAGGGTCAGCTCCTGGGTCCCTTTGTGAGAGTCTGATGTTGTCAATCGACACATCCCCTGCGTTTCAGCGCAAAGATGCCATGCACCATCCAGAACCCAATGGATCGACTGTCACGGCTGTGGTCGGTGCCACCTGGCGTCTGGCCCCCCGTTTTTGCCACGACGGGCGACGGGCGACGGCTGGACGGCTGGACGGCAGCCGAAGCTAGATAGCTAGATGCCACGCACGGGCATAGGCCGCCAAGTCCGGCTCTCAGTGGCGCATCTCGAGATGGCCTCGCCGCTCAACGCCACCGGGACGTCGAAGTCGGGGCGGTGCCGGATCGCGGCGGCCACCTCGGCGAAATCCGGCGGCGAGAAGCTCGGCTTGACACCAATCTCACTGGCCCAAAGGACCCATAAATAAAAGGAAAACCTGTTGGCACCTCCACTAAAAATGGACCAAAACGGGAAAAGCAAAAGGTCAAAAGGTCGAGTAAACTTGTGCTGAAGGTTTTTCTGCAGCCCGTAAAGAGATTGCACCGATTGGAGAACCAGTGTGCATCCCATGCTTGCAAGTAGCAAACCTGAAACAGAACCGCGGGGTTGCAACGGATGGCTTTCAATCAACTGCTAATAGCTGTGTTCAAAGATGTTTCGGGGGAAAACACAGAAACAAACCACCACGCACATATCGACTTTCACCTGAGGTCATCTAAACGTTGAGGACCTAGGAACCCAATTTGCTGGCCAGAAATATAGGGCTCTCAAGAACACCCATCCCAGGAGATCCAACAAAAACATCCCGCTCACATGTTCAAAGCACGTGCATTTTGGCCGCGCCCAGGCGCATCAGAGCGGTCTCTGACAAGGCAATGGTGCCAGCAGGACAAGCCCAGTTTATCCAGGGCCTTGGCGCACAATCCAATCGCTCCAAACATGGCACGTCATCTCTCGGTTGCTTTCTGCCCCCTGCTAAAAGTCTAGCTTTTGGTGGTTTAATGGAAAACCCACTAGTTGGCAAAAAATTAAAGTCCTGACATCCAAGCAAAATGCACCAAAGAGATTTGCAACTCCCAGGAACCCACAACAACTATATCTAGATATGGCTCTGATTCTGTTCCAGGCCATGGATATGGAACAAAGCCTAGGAACAAAGACACCAGCAGCCCAACTCCCAAGTCTGATCCTGTCGAATTTCGCTCCGCAGGGCTGGCGTGTTCCGTGCCAAAAGGCCCCACCAAACTGTCTGCAAACTGGGCTGTCCGTTTTCAGATCTGCTAAAAGCTTAACTTCTAGTGGGTTAAATGGAACCCCACACTAAGCACTAAAAAGCGAAAAAGCTAAGGGGAGGAGGGCACACAAGGCAAACACAAACATCTCAATCCTATCCGGATATGACTGCCTTGCAAAGCCTCCCAAGCATCAGCCGTGGTGCCCATGTCCGACTTCCATGCCAGGCTGATGCTGCTGCACTTGCACTACCCGAATGTGAGGTGATGCAGGGCTTCTGGCCAACAAAGCAGGCATCGGTCCGGAAGCAAACTGGGAGGGGCCAAGCAACGCCTCCCTCTGAATCATGCCAATTGCAACAAGTAGTTGTTATGACAGGATCCGGGATGCCGCAACAGATTAAACACACTACTATTAAGCCATCAATCCAAACAAATTTCAGGACGTGAGCTGTCGTAGGGCAGCGATCACGAGAAGGCTCAGTTCCAGACGATTTCACATATTACACCTAAGCGCATCCAGCTCCCATTTGCAACAAGCGCCAAAAGGCTCCCCAGTCCTCAAGTCTCTGAAGTCGCGCATTTGATCACCAAAAAAGCAGTCGCAACATGAGAATTCGGGTACGCTATGGCGAGTCTAGTGCGTGGCGTGCATTGCGGGCCACCGTGTTTCCTCTGTTTTGATGCCCCCCCTCAAAAAAAAAAGGCAACGCCCCTTTCGGATCAGCGGCGTTCAGCCTGGTGAAGTCCTGTCTCTGCAAAATGGCCAACGCCACCTGCAGAGATCCACCCGTCCCTTGCCGACCCACGGCTGCGATTCGCAAAAGATGTGAGGGCTGCGCCGTGAAATCTGGACAGCTACCTATAGCATCCTGATATGATACTACTTAGCTCTCAAAAGAAAGGCACATATTCGCTCTCTCTACGTGCTAGACAGGCAGAGACTTCGCCAGGCGCATGCCCACTAAAGCACATGCAGAAAGGCACAAACAAAACACACATACATACAGGCACGTCCGCCCAACCGCTTGTGCAAACACCAACCATCCGACCAGCCTGCCACTCAACCAACTAACCAGCCCACCCAGCCAAACCAAGCCAGTAATGAAGCAAGCAACCCCCGCGCAGTTTGTCCTGAACGCTTGAAGATGTCAGCTCATTAGTTTCTAAGGCTATAATATTTGCTTCACATCAGTGCACACTTGCACAAACAAGTTTCCTTCAGCCTCACGCAGCAAACATAAGACGCTGACAGAGACACGAAGACAGAGATTGTGATACAAAGCAGACACGCTCACATACAAACCAATCTCTGACCAACTCCAAAACAATGTGGAGAGGATGGGGAGGGTGTTGTGTTTGTTCATATCGAAATGGTGCCTAAACGCCTCAGGCAAAAATGGGCCCCGAAACCTACGGGGCGCGGGATTTGACATATGCCATGGTTTTAGAACACACACCCCTCCCCAATTTTGCATGGAGGCGCGCGATTACGCGCTCAACATTGAAATTAATACGTAGAAGTTGGAATAAGAGTTTAGCGATTAGAGTTTCTCGGCACCCTCCCACCAATTAACATGGAACCTGACTTCCGGGTGCTCCTGGAAGACCATGTTCTTTGAAACGGGACCCGCTGTCAAGTTCCATATTAGTTGGTGAGAGGGTAATTACGCCCAAGGGATTTCAGCATGTCTTCAATCAGCTCCCACATGTCCGGTGCCCCTCTGAGAGGAATGTGCCTAGCGCCCTCAGGGCCACCCTCTGCTAGGTCCTCCAGTAGAGAGGTTGGGGTATTCTTTTTCTGTAGTCTATTTTAGTAGGGGAACCCTCACCCAAAAAAGGGTAAAAGGGCACTACTGGGGGACCTAGCCTGTCTTAAACTGTCAACAGTTTGCCCTGGTCGCTGTGAAGTTGGCGCATGTCCCGGCAGCGCCTCCCACTTTTGCCGCTTGATCGCAAGCAGCAACGATGTCTCGCCATTATCCTTGCCAGCAAAACATGTATACATATATATATATATATATGCATACATTAAAATATACACAGTTATATGTATATATATATATGTATATACATTTGTTTTTAATGTTGTGCTTACCCCGCAGTGAAGGTGAACAAACTGAAGAGTAACAAATCTGGACGCATGAAAAGCGCAAAGTAAAGGAGCAAACATAAACCCAACCTGGCTTACTTTGTTGTGCCTCAGTTGTATACAGGTAGAACAAAAGGTAAACAGCCTGGACCCACTAAAGGCAAAATGTAGAGCTGCGAAAAGTACAATGTGTTGGCGTCTAGCAGGTTTTGCTTCTTAATGCTTCCTGAGAAATGGGAAAAAAGGGGGCAACAATGACCAACATGCTGCGCATGCGCAAAACATGTTGCTGTTTGTTTGCACGTGTTGAAAACAAATTGCCAGGAAAAAAGCTCAAGTAATAACACTTTACCAGCTCAAGACGGAAGACTTGGCCATAAGGCAATTCCGCAGTAGAATCGGCAATGCTAAACCAGCACTAAACATATTGAAACTGATGCTATGAACAGGCTGAAGCACACGTGATACTAAGAACTCCTGCTGGAGAACTCCAGTGTGACTAGACCGGGAAAACACAAATGGACCAATACTAAACCAAATTGAGACTAGACGCAGCAATGCTCAAGCAAATGCTGCAGCCAAACTCATAATACATATTTCATCAATCCTAGTACTACTCAGCGTCGTTCGGGCCCAAAGGCAGCAATTGTATGCTAACATAGCATCATCACAATGAATCATCATCATCATCATCATCATCATCGTCAGTCCAATCACGTGTCGTCCTCGGCATCATGTGCATGCCGGGCAGGCGACACAAACCACCACACTGGTAAAACCGCCTTGGACAAAGAACCAAATTGAGAATGCACCATGCCATCTGTTCACATGGCCCACCAAGCACAGGATCTACATTCAGAATTTGCACATGTACACATATATATACATATATATATATATATGTATATGTTTTATAACTATACATGACATTCCTGCGATATACCCTGTGGACGCAGCCCCCCTTAATGACGACTCAATACTGTTAGCTAGATCAAGCCATGCATGGGCATACTCTTGGAGCCCTATAGTTTACATGTGTTTGGCTCCTCCCGGGCTTGGCCGGGACCCCCGAACCCTTGGAATGGCCTCATCCTGGGTAGAAGCGAAACAATTGCGGCCCAGCGATCCTCTGCTTTGTGAGGTTATAAAATAATCGGGGGGGTGTCCGATTCTGAATGAAATGTGCGGAACAGATCACTTTTGGAGGAGAATTCCCCCGACCCCTACTATAATAAACTGGCTGGCTGATTCATAATATGAGAGCCCTGTCGTTTTGCGAGGCTTTCTGCAAATTCATGCTGCAACCAACCCCGCTTTACTAAAGTGATCTACGCATATGTTGACCGTGGCTCACATGGGGTCAGCATGAAGGCGATTAAAAAGAACCTCACCAAGCCCCATGGGTCATTGGACACCCTGCCAGCCACGGATCGTTGAGCTCGTTCAAGCCCGGCACCACCTCTGCTCGCAGCATCTCCAATACCTCGAATCGCTTTGGGTCTTCGGCCAGTGCCACGCAGAAAGGAAGCTGCAGGTCTCCTTCCCATAGGCGGCCTTCTTAGGGAAAATCGACGGCCCTAGATGATTGAACCACCAAATAAACCATGCCTTGCAGCCAAGTGGCGCTTTGCACAAAGCTCGGTGGCTTTCTGCTCCCCTGCTAGTGGTTTAATGGAAAACCCCTTGGTTGGCAACAAGTTAAAGTCCTAACATCCAAGCAAACTACACCAAAGTGCAGGTCTCCTTCCTTCCGCGTTTTCGCCACTGGAAAATGAACACATGTTCCAAAGATATATAGATTTCCTTTGAAGACATCGGTGGAACATCAAAAAAATCAGCCAATGGAAGTCTCAAAGCAAGCGTCTCTATATATATATATATCCGGAGAGCCCATGTTCTGAAGCTCATAGAAGAGCAAGCAGCCACTATAAGCAGATCGAATCAGTTGCAAATCCGGGGTTCCCGTTCGGCTTGATGCAAACTCTGCCCATCCCGTGGGACAGCGCAAGTAGCACAAAGCACCGTAGCACCGAGCCAGGCACAACTCAAGCGCCAAAGGCAGCGCAAACAACTGTTGCTGCAAGTCTTCATGAGAACCAAGAAAAGGAACCTAAGACATTGAAGTGCAGGCAAGCAACACCTACAAACCCCACCAAAAAAAGCAGCATGCCCAACTTTAGCTGCCACAAACCAACTCTTCAAATCAGACCTGATGCTACTGTACCTGATGCCCCCTAAAACCCTCCTTCAGCACTTCCCTCGCAGCCATGATGCAACGCTGGAGCTGTGATCCAGGGCCTCCAAAATGGAGCTATAGCACCTCAGCCAAGAACGGCATGCCATGACACTCTCCCTGGCCATAGGTGGCCTTTTGGAAAAATCGATGGCCCTGGCAAACGGAATCAACCCCATCTAAACCAGTGCCATCTATTTTTAAGCAAACCAACCTGAAAACTGGCCCATGCCATGGATGGGAATTTCTTGGACCCTGACACTGACACTGACGCCTGATGGGCTCAGGTCGACTCAGCATCTCAATGTCTGATTCGCGCGCATGGGGCACTCTCAGTCGTCGCTGCCTTCCAAACCGGGAGAAGCCGCCAGGAATCCTTCAAGGGATCTCGTTTGCTTGGCCTTTCCACGACCCACGCACCTTTAACGGGAATATCAGTCACAAGGAAGCCTTCTTGACCATTCCACGCGTCAGCCGAGCCAAGAAGCTTCTTCACAGGAGCCTTAATGTCACTTTCCAGCCTGGGCAAGCAGTGCAAAGGCACCAGTGGCAGCGTCAATCACTGGTTGAAATCTGCATGAAAGGGTGGGAACATGCTGGGCTTCCGGCCATAAATTGCTGTCTGTCACGTGCTGCCAAATCACTCACGGAAGGAAAACCAAGACGGGCCCGATTCACAGGACATACTTCAAACTTCCTTCTTCTCACCCATGCGCTAAGACATCCAAGCTCATTCATTCATTTGAGTAATGTTCACCGCGATCCCGATTGCGGTACGACTCTCAATGTCTACGTCTGGCAAACCTTTGGCCCTGCCTCTGCGCTTGACTGAAGCTATGATCCATCTCTTCGATGATCTGGTCCATGCGTCGCTTATTATCCTGCGGGCAACTTACTTGCATGAAGCCGATGCATTATAGAACTCGATTACTCCTGTCCCGAGCTGGGAAAACAAGGACGTCTGTCAAACTCTCAATAAACCAGAAGGGCCACCATGCATAGGGTCTTTATTCCCGTGATTCTTCGCAGTGAAGTCAGCAATTGCCCAGCTTTCCCCTAAGTTCATGAAGCAAAGCCTGCCGATCCGTCAGAGTTTCCCCCAGCCCTCCGCATAAAAACAACGCAAATACTGACCGCATCGTTTGACTGCTGTGACCGCATGACAAGCATAGGTGTCCTTTTAGGGGAAATAGATGGCCCTGGTAGATGGTTAAACCACTAGGTAAGCCAGGAATCGCCATCTATTTTGCTACCACACCCAAGAAGGACACCTATGATGACAGGCTGGTGACCGCACGCGTCCAGATTGGGACAGGCTTCCCGTTTGGAGCCCTTTTGGCGAGTCCCGGATTGGCATGGCGGGTGCCCGAACCCACCAACGTCGAGCAAAGGAATATGTGTGCTTCTCAAAAAGGGGGGGGTGATCCATACATCGTTGGTGTCCGTTTGGTTTCTTGTTGGTTTCCTTTTAATCTCCTTTTGGTCTCCTTTTGGTTTCCTCTTGATTTCCTATGGTTTCCTTTCAATTACCAACAAGCGTCCATCATTTTGAGAAACACCCATATATATCTATATATATATATATATTTATTTTTATGTATATTGCTAAATGTTGCTCACCTGCTTTCCATTCAAGGTCCTGCAAGAAGCAAAAATATGTTCAGCATAGGCAAGGCTCTGGTTGGGGGCCGAACACTCAGCTGGGCTCAATCTGGCTGTGGCTCAAAAAACCGGTACCAGAATGGAACCCTGGTAAGTGGAAACATGGACCAACGCCCGCCTAACCCCTCCTGTTTAATTTTGAGCCACCCCCAACTGTTTTTTTCTCCATCCAGCTGAGGCGCTGCCATCATCTCTGCAAACCTCGGCCCAAAAATTGAAGTGCGTTCTGTGTCCGATTCGCACATCTCAACCTATCGCGCTGCTACTGGGTTTGTTGTGCTGGTGTGTATCCAACTTCAAGGTTTTGAGCGCCAGCCAAAAAAGGTTGAAGTCTCAAGTTGAAGGATTTTTGGCAAGGGCGAATCAACACTAGTGAGTGCTTGATCGGTGTTCGGAGACCTCTGCAGGGATTCTTACATGTGATTCGGGCACGAGCCTGTGCCCAGGCAATGGGTAAGTTGGGGTAAACAAGCCACAAAAGAAAGGTTCCCCAAAAGCAAACCAATCCCCGGTCCCAAAGATCAGGGTTTCCCACACACCAGAGAACAACAACCAAAAGGAAACAAACCAAACAAGAAAAGGGTTAACCCGCAACCTTGGTCGACAACAGGCCGCACGACTGGTCCCTACCAACCTGGCGGCGGCCCGAGGTCTCTTTCTCCCCCGAGATGCCGTCGGTCGACGCAGGGGTTCGGCGACGCCCATTCGAGGCGCGACGGAACCCAAAACTTGAGCCAAAACACCACAGGTCGGTCACTAACGCGACGTCCCTGATGATGATATGAACCATGGCTAATCACACCCCCCTCACGAGGAGCCCGTCATATGACGGGTGGAGCGTGCCATTTACTGATAGGATTTAACTGCTCGCATGCGTCCGCAAACAGCTGGACACTACCGCCGTCAGCGGTGGAGCAAACCCACAAAGGCAGTTGCGCGACATCCCGGGCATTAAATTCCCGCCACCACCCCGAATTAATCGGGGTAACGCTGTCCAACATACCTTGTGGAAAAGTCCACATGACGACACTAGGTCACAACTGTTTGCATCAACAATGCAAGAAGTTTAATTCTTATCAGAAGCCATGAAAAAGAAAGATAACGTATGTCCAATAGTACCCTCGCCTAACGGCAAGAGATACCTCTGACCATGCGTACCTGAAAAATGCTTGAATTCCGCAAACCCAGGAGTAACCCCCCATCAGTTTGCTTTCCCTCTCACTCACACTGCTTCCGGATGAACACGTCCAGCAGCTCAGCAGCGGTACGGGAGAGACATGACCCCGCGCCTCAGCGGTCCGGGAGAAACATCACCACCTCCACACCGCGCCGACCATTGGAGAATGGACGCCAGCCTATCGGCCGCAATCCCCGTGACTCAGCCTACCGGCTATCGTCACGTCTCCTCCGGTCACGTCCGCCCCGCGCACGGTCCCTATCACGATCCCTTTCGGATCTCCTGCGATCATCTCGCCTTCGATCTCGCTCCCGATCGAGTGAATCATCATCACGACGATCACGAGCATCGTCCCTCCTCCGGTCGCGATCATCCTCGCGCCGCGGACGGTATCTGCGCCTCCTCGACTCTCTGGAATCCCTGGTGTCCACGGTCCTAACGGACCTCCGAGAAGGAGTACGGGAAACATCCGATTCCCTACGCCTCCTCCCAGATCGAGAGTTCGTCACGATCTGGTTGAGAGCCTCCAGTGCCGACGCCTCTTCACCATTTCTGATGAAATCCCTGACCTGCTTGTTCAGCACTCTGTTGGTGGAGATCGACAAGAAAGCGTCCACCACCGAACTCTCAGGCAGCACCAGGAAGTGACCCTCCACCGGGCTCGCCGCAGCCCGCTCAGCAGACTGCAGCCGGATCTCCCCGCCTTCAGGCTTCTTTGCCATCGCCTTGGAGGCCGTCAAAGGCGCTACCGCATCCTTTGCCGAAGATCTGCCAAGCGCGGAGTGAAGATCATCCCCACTAGCTTCTCTCGCTGCCGCACCTGGTCTGCTGTCGACGTCGCCAGGCCTCGTGGACGCCTCCCGCTTTGTCGACTCCTTCACAGCCTCGTCGGGATCCCAACGGGATTTCCTTTCTCTCTTCTGCCCTTCGGCCGACCCGCGGCTACCGCCAGGAGCGTCACCTCCGCCTATCTTCTCCTTCTTGACCTCAACCTTCGGTTCGGCCTGCTTCGTCTCCTTAGCCACAGCTTTTGGAGCCGGAGCACTCTTCGCCTCAGATGCTGAAGCAGCCTTCCCTCTCGGCTCGGCCTTAGGAACCGGGGTCATTTTAGCCTTTGCACTCGGCCTGGCCCCTTCAACCACCATCTCGGCCCAAGACTTCTTCGGCTGAGCTGCTGCTGTATCAACCTCCATCGGAGCAGGTCCAGCATCATCCTTCGCCTTTGGGACAGATGGGCTACCGCCCTTACCAGATCCTTTACCTGGCACTTCACCTGACTTTGGTGGTGGGCCGGAAGGACTACCGCCCTTACCGCCCTTTTCCCCTTCTTCCCTTTTCCTTTTCCGCCCTTGGTGACCGGCTCCTGCTTGGGACCAGGACCCGGCGCAGCATGATGCACCGATTGAAGTCCCTCGATGTCCACATTCAATGGTTCGGGTTGACGACCATCAAGAACCGTCCTCACCCTTTCGTCACTAACGTAGACGAACGGGTCACGGAAGGGTGCGGGAGGCTCCGACTGTCCGGCGCTGATCGCCTTCTGCACCTTGGCTATCGCCTCCTTCAACCTCTTCTTCTCATCGTACCCTGTCTCCGATACCATGTACTGCCTGAGCTGCGAAATCAACGCATGACTTTCCAGGATGTCCACGTCCTTTCGATGGGTCGGATACAATGGGGTCAGATGACCAGCCGCGGAGCCAATCACGTATGCCATCGGAATATAGAAGGACAAGTACGTGTCATGGCGAGCGAACTTCCTAACGGAAGTCGTCATACGCCTACCCCATTGAGCAGCGTGCCTTGGGTTAGCCCGGAAGTACTCCGTGACCGACTCAAATCTATCGACTTGGTTGGTCAGAATCAGGTGCTTCGCTACCCACTTCTCCACGAACGCATCCGATGCCGAAATCCCCGACACATAGGAGAATTGGAAGAGCACCTTCGCCAGCTCATCCCACGCCGCATCGACTCCTCCCTTGTCCTCACCAAGATAAGGGGGCAGTCTGATTCCACTCTGCACCGTCATCCTCAGATCAGATGCCATGGAATAGGAAATCAAGTTCCTCTTGATGACTCCGACCACTTCGGTGGGGATCCTCTTGGGCTTGAACTGTCCCATGGTCCTCACCCACTCCGGTACAATGTGGCATCTCTCGAAGTCTTTCTCCTCCGCGTTGGGGATAAAGTTCGGGTAGAAGACCGGGAGCGCGCATCCAGGACACAAATGCATCCCATTTGGCGTCATCTCCGCGCACCTCAAACAGAACGTGGCAGTCACATTCAATCTGACCTCTTCCCGCGATCGCCTGTGCTCTCCCCTAACGGGGGTGAAGTCACCATAGTCCCATGCCCGATGGTACACTATCGTGTAATCATCGTACATGTAGGCCGCCTTCCAAGCTCCCATGTGGATCTCGTTCCTAACGGCCAGAGTCTTCCTTCTTGTCAAAAACACGGGTCCAACCAAGGACCAGTGCACCCGAAGATCCACCATTACCACCACGTACCTACCGGAGTAGTTCCGCAGCCTGTCCCTGACATACCACGAAGGCGATACCTCGGCATCCGGCGCCATGGCTCCCACAAGTGGGATCAGGCCCTCATCCTGCCTACCATCCCCAATGGTCTCGTACACATCGGGCCTCGTGATCAATATCTCGATCATGGCCTTTCCATTTCGCCTTACCCTTTGGAGCTGAACCGCCTTCCGAAAGTCCGAGAACTTCATGATGACGTACCCCACCATGGGGAGTTCATTCCAATGCATCTCGTACATCAGAGATCCGCCAGGTGCATCTTCCTGAGTGTACCTATGCCTAACGGCACTGTAACTCATGTCGCGTCCGATCCGCGTGTGCCTAACGGCAACCAACCTGGTGCTCTCTTTGAGGAGAACGTCATTCCCGTCGTACATGACCATGAGCATCGCCTCAACTTGCCCTATCGGGAAAGCTTTGAGCGTCGGAATGAAGAACTTCCAAGACATCTCAGCGTTCTCCATGCCCGAGATCTCCTTCAGGAACCAGATGGCCTGGTCACTTTTCACCCAGTTTCCAGCCTCGCGTCCGGTCTCCTTCAGCACACGTTCCTCGAATAACTCCGAGACTCTCTTTGAATTGATGACCAAACCGTCGAAATCGCACGAGAGTAGTCTCATCAACTCCTTCGCCGCCTCCCGTCCCGCAACGGTGCCCACGGTCTCCTCGTAGTTCGGGAGGTATTCACCCAACCTCGTCTTCGAGGGAACCACAATCTGGCAGGTGACGGCCTCATCAGGGATAACTCCCGTTTCCCTTAACTCTGGATTGATCTCTCGCCTATCGGCAAGATAATCCTCCTTCCCATCCAGTATCACAAGATTGTAGGTCATCTTGCTCGCCGCCCCACTAGGCCTGAACTTCCTGCTATCATCCAACTGGTCAGGAGCAAAGGGTCCACTAGGGGCAGCTGCACTCACCAGAGGCGCTCCTCGCCCAGAGCAGAGGTGCTTCTTGTGAAAGTTCACCATCTGATTCAGCTGCGATAGTGCGTAGGCACGATCCTCCAATGACGCACTCTTCATCCCAGCCTCAGTCAGAGGAGCCTCAGGCTTGTCATAACTCGCCTTTCCGCCCCATCTCGCCGCGACCAGCTCAGCAGACTTCGCAGGGTCGATCAAATTTCCCGACCACTCAGGCATGTTGCTCAACCTCCTAGTCAACGCGTCTACCGACGCAGCCAAGTCTTCGTCCGTCACGGTGTAAGGGTCGACCTTCTCCCTGTCTTCTTGACCCACATCCGGAAGCCTATAATCCCCGCGGATGGCCTCCAGCGCGGCCCTCTCGGCTTCCTCAGCCTCCTTCTGCGTGGCCACTGCCCTCGGAATCAAGAGCGCTACCTCGGCCGGCAACGACTTCTCCATGTCTATCGGAGTGTTCTTGGGAAGGATCCTTCGATCATCTCCCTCCCCGCTGTACTCATAGTCAGGAGCAGTCTTCCGGTACTCCTCGAAGGTAGCCCCTTTGAAGTTGGTAATCTCACT